GTTGTAAAACTGATTTTATATTTTATTGGAAGTCCGAATAATATATTAATTTGTTAATAAAGATATAATATTATAAATTAATATATTATATTATTACGTATGGAGAACACATGGACTGTGTACAGAACGGGTTGTTAAATATTCAACAAAATACAGTTTAATGTTTCTCTCAATTAAGTGTTTCAATTCCCCAGAACAGGTTTCTAACCGAATGAAAAATTCTTTACAAAGCAGATCGATATTTACGACATACTAACAGAATATTAATTATATCGGTTGGAAGTCCCCAAAATCCCCCTTTGTAATAAAAACAAACAATAAAAAATAATAAAGTAAAAAAAAACTCAGTCAATTGCAGTTCATTGACATCACGACTTTGGATTCAACTTGCAGTGAAAGTGAAATAAATCTTAAAGATATATTACATATGCAGTTGTACAACAAACAAATTTATTGTTGTTGATGAATTTTTAAAATTCTTTTATTTTGATTTCGTCCAAAACAAATGTATGCAAAAAAATACTGGTAATTGAATATTTGTTGGTATTAGAACTCGTTGTTGGTATTGGCGCCTACACAAATTTAATTGCCCAGCTCAAGTATTATTTTGCAAATTCATCGTATGCATATTGGAAAAAAATTAACTCAAAACAAATCGATTTCAAATTGTCGGTAATTAAATTTCATGTTTTTACTTATTTGTTCACGTTTTTTCCCTTTTTTGGATGTCATCGATTTTTTGTCCCATATTTATTGGTTCTTTTTTTTTGTTATGCAAAACAAAAAATGCTGCTGTCCGGTTCTTGGCTTTTTATAATAAATTTGCATCAACATGCAGGAGAGACAATGCAGTTTGAGATTAAAATTATAAAAAAATCCAAAAATGTAAAAAACAAAAATTCACAAATGAAGTGAAAAATATTCTGGAAGAAGAAGAGGAGCAATGAAAATGAAAAACAAATAAACGAAATTATTGGATATTTGATATAAAAACAAAATCAAATCATCGTAATGCAGTTAGTTGTTCAACAGTTAATTAAACGAAACATACAATCTTCTTATTGCAAGTTAAACAAACGCAAACAGAATTTAAAACTCCAAAATGAGAGGATTTACATTGATTAAGGTGAGAAAGGATTTTTTGGAAGCTGAACTTGTGTGTGTGTACCCTGAGGATATATACCCAATTTCCCCAATTGGATTAGAGGTTTTAAATTGAAAGGAAAAACAAATACTTAAAGTGACAATAACTACTGTAGTGATTATACCCTACACAACTATGTTATCAGAGTATTATAGCTTTGTGCAGCCCCAAAAGTTTGTAACGCCGCGAAATATTGGTCCTAGACCCACCTTTAAGTATACCGATCGTCATACCTCGACTAGCTGAGTCGATCTAGACATGTGTGTCCGTCTGTCCGTCTGCCCATTAGAATTTGTAAAGACGATACAGGCCACAGTTATGGACCAATCTTCACGAAATTTGGCATGTAGAATGGGTTCTGCCCAATGAAGACCCCTATTGTTTTTGGAAAAGATCGCTCAATATTTAGGGGATGAAATGGACCAAAAACTTTATTTTGGTCTGAATTTCTGATCGCTCCAGAGGCCGCAATTATGGCTCAAACACCGCGAATTTTTGCATGGAGAACGGGATCGGGCCAAAGAATAAGCAAGGACCCTGACTTTTGTGTGAAAAATGACAAAATTTGTATTCTATGGCGCATATATATGTGCCCCTGAAGGACCTAGACCCAAAAAGTTGATAGTATGTTCAAGAGGAGTGGTCCACCTTTAAATTGATACCAATTATATGGTCGTATGTACTCAGATGTGGGAGCTACACTTAAATATTTACAGGTGCTTACGTATTCAGACATTATTTAGTAACCCAAAACCACACTAGAGGGCGGAAATATAGCGCTGATCGCTTTGAAAATTTCCATGAGATTCCAGTTATGGTCAAGGACAACGCCTATAACTTTCGGTGATGATCAGATAATAATTTTGGGATGAAGTGGACCGAAAACTTAACATTATGTGTTGTTTTTTTGAGTCGGTCTATATACCACAATTGAAAGCCCAACATCACAACATAACCCACGGTAAAGAGAATCTGGACAAGTACAGCCCTCGTCTACTGAACATTAGTAATAAATGTTGACCTTTAGTCAGGTTTCAAGAGGGTGCAAATAACGCAAAGTTGACTTTTAATGTGGGCTATGTCATGTTAAATTGCTGCCATGAAAAAGGCAAAATACTAAACTACGGACACTCAGGTGGGAGCTAACACATTATACTACATACCTAAATTAATGATCTGTGGTCTAAGTATGGTGGCTATATAGGAACATGGACATATATTTTATGACAAAGTTGTTTTCCCGCCAAGGACCTTCAAAAACAAATTACAACCACCTCCTACTGCGCCTATGACTACCAAAATAATTATAAATAGGCTGCACCTATTTATTATTAAATTAGAACCAAATCGGGTGAAAAACGAACGTGCCCACAATCACCAAAATACCAATTAAGAGATGGTAGCATTATGTGAGAGCCACCCAGAAACTTGGCCAAAATTGGTAGATGATTTATTTATCCAATTCGATTCCAAAATTATTAAACAAACAAGTATGGTCCCACCCTCTATTTTATGGTGGATTTAGATTTAGCTCCCATATAAAAGCATGCAATGTTGAGCGTATGTGGGGGAAGCACCAGAAGGAGTGAACCGATTAGTCCCATCTTCGTGCATGATCTAGATTTGGTAAAAATATTACGATCTGTAACGTTTGACGGTAAAAAGATTAGATTGTGAAAAGTTTGGGTAAAATGGGATGGTCCATTCGCATGATATTATAACCAGAAGGAGTGGGCCAAACTTAGTTCGAAGATACCCCAAGAAATATAAGGCTGGGGAAAAGAATTCCATCATTTTTATGTGAACTATAGGACTTTATTTAACATGCTTCCGAATGTCCGATTTGGGCCAAATATGTTATATGATTTGTTGCCATTTTAAAGGTATCTTCAAAACACCTTTCTCATAGAAGTCCTGCTCTCTATTTGCAAAAAAAACCCTAGTAGTTGATTTTCACAATCCTCCCTAGATATCCATTTTTAAATTTTTTATCATTAAATAAATTTTGCACTGTACGAAAAATATGATAATCGTTTGAGGCCAAGTCCCGACTGTATGGCGGATGCATTAAAACTTCCCAACCAAGCTCCAGAAGTTTCTGACAAGTCACTGAAGATGTGTGTAGCCTAGCGTTGTCCTGGTTGAACACTACACATCTCCTGTAGTCAAATTCTGGCCGTTTCTGATCAATTACTATCTTCAAACGGTCCAGTTGTTGACAATAGAGATCAAAATTTATCGTTTGGTCATATGGAAGCAACTCATAATAAATAATACTCTTCCAGTCCCACCAAATGCATAGCATAACCTTCCTGGCCGTTAGTCCTGGTTTTGCCACCCTTTGAGGTGCTTCACTGCTCTTTGGCCACGAACGTTTTCGCACAGGGTTATCGTATGTGATCCATTTCTCATCTCCAATCACCATCCGTTTAAGAAATGTGTCTATCTCATTTCGTTTGGCAAAGGCTTCGAATATCGAAATTCGATCCATCCTATTTTTTGGGGGTTCCCTTAATATTTCGATATGTTTGGATGAAATCGTTTTCCCCCTTCGAGATTTATAGATCGCACCAGATCCAGCCAGACAGACCGACAAGCGAACGGACGGAAGGATATGTATGAAACGGATTCATTGGGCTACCCCGAATCATGGACCAATATTGATAATTTTTTTATAGACATTTTCTACCCAATGAGAATCCACGATTTCAAAATGGACCCAATTCGGATGAAAATCTTGAGCAAAGACACCGAAATGTTGGGGAGTACCTTAATGGCTATCCGAAAAATTAACCAAAATTGGATAATTTTTAGTATTAATATTTCCTGCTCATGCACAGTGCCAATTTTAATACCAAAATTAATCTTGATTCGAGCTCTATATGTTCACCTAAATTCAAGTCCTATCAAATTTAGTACAATTTAGTACTTCCATAACTACCTATTTCAACAATCCAACATAAATTAGATTGGATCACTGGATACCATTTAGTACACAAAATTCAATAGAAATCAGAATTCCCAATTTCCGGATACCATTTCTATCAGGCCACCTAAATCCAGATTGTATAAAATTTAGTACCATTTAGTACACAATGGTACAAATTTTCATAACTACCTGCAACACTAATCCAAAAGAAGTTCACCCAAATCAAAATGTAGTACCATTTAGTATACATTAGTACGAAAATCCAGAACTTCCTACATACCCCAATTCTACATCCAAACTGTAATCTTACTAACGAAAAACCTATGTCCAAATATTCATTTCAAATATTTAGAATTCTTGCTCGATCTAAATGGTGTCAAATTTAGTACTTCCCAAATCCGTACACATAAGTACAAATTTTCAAAACAACCTACATATCCCAATCATACACCTCAACAGGAATCCTAACTCAAATTTTCAAATTGTACCAAATTTAGTACACATAAGTACGAATTCACCAAACTACCTACATACCTCAATTCTACACCCCAACAGTAATCCTAATTTCAAAATTTTACTATTCCAGCTCTAAATCAAAATTGTACCAAATTTAGTACCGTTTAGTACTTTTCTTATACATGACTACATATTTTCAGCACCACTTCCTAATATTGACCCTACTTCTCAACCTTGATGCACATTCCAAATTTAAAGTTTGTAGCTCATTCCGTCCGCATGCTACGAATTTGTAAGAAATTTAGTACTTTTCGGATACTTATAGTTCGAAATTTCAAGAACTCTTTAGTACATCCATCCTACACTCCATCAATGACGCTTAATCTAAATTTATGTATTATTTTCTTTAATCTTAATATTATTTCCCCCGTTTGAATTTAATAGCTTTCTACCCTAATGTTCGTTGCAACAATGGCTGTGGTGCAAGCTGGACCCATACCCGGCAACTACGATATGGTTATGGTCGATGATAATCTCCCATCTGAATCGATACAATTTCAAAATTTCGATACCTTCTACAATGCCGAATCGGAAAATAATCCAATGTCTGAGTTGGAAATGATGGAAAGTCGTAGTGTTCCACGTGTAATGCGTCGCAAAGTTATGCATTTGAGGGCTCCCCAGGCTCTCTCGCAAAAGGAAATTGCTGCTCGTGCTCAGTATGAGATATTCGATGTGGCACGTGAAAGACGTAATCAAAAGTCGCTGGTTAAGGGCAACTCCCGTCCCAATACAAATGGTTTGGAATGGGAGGAATTCGATTATGATGCCTATGTTAAACATTGAGGAACAGAGAGAACGAGAGAGAGAGTGCAGAGGATAATGATGATGTTTGATAATGATTGTGACTTGGAAGATGACTCAATGATGACGATGCCGACCCACTGATTTTTGTAGTATAAGTTTTGACGTTATCGAGGAGAACGTTGTTATTGTGCTATGGAGGTTTTCTGTTTTTTTATTTATTTATTTTATTTATAATTTGTTATGAAATACTTAATTTTAAGATGTGTAAACTTAAGGCTAACTAAAACAAAAAATATAATGGCAATTACAAACAAACAAAAATTAAACAGTATTTTTTCTTAAATGGGGGTTCCAACAAGAGGTGTTATTTTGAATTCACCCCGCTTTTACAAGGTTTACTCATTAACCAGACCATTAGTAAGAGTGGAACCAGAATTATATACTACACCTAGTAGTATATATTTCTGGCGTGGGCAACAAAAAGTGTGATATTTCCATTGGGAACTGTGAATTTTTTAAGCATGATCGTACACAGCTCAATTTTAGGTACGATCACGTGCTGTGTTGTTTACAGTGACTTCAAAACAATTAGAAAAAAAACTGAAATTAAGTTGTAAACATGTTTGTGTGATTATGTTACCAATAACCCGGCACAAAAATCCAAGTACTCAGTACGGGTTGACGTACGACCATGGGTTGTTTATCGTTTACACCAATTTTTTAAACAATAAATTAACTCCTGAACATTTTCAAATGATTATTTTTCACAACTTTCGACGTGGATTATCACGAGAAAAATGTATCGATTGCATTAAATGGTAGTTCTCCGAATACGAAGGTCTTCAAAAAAGGTCCGTTGTACCACAGAACATTGATGCCGCGCGTAAAGGATAATGTAAGGTAGTCATGTAAGGCTAATAAGGTAATCAAGAGGCTTTCCTGGGAATTTCTTCCACCAACATATATTCGATATTTTACGAAAATCTGGACGAAAAAAAGATTTATTTTCTTTGGATTCTGAACAATTTGACAATCGCTTGCAAATTGGTAAGTCGAAATTCGAACAATAAAAAGAACGTATTGATGTGAAAAAATACGTGCTCTCGACTCAACAACAGAAAATATTTCTTCTGTGGGCAAGGTGTTGACGAAAATCCAGGTCAACGAATTACTCTTCCCATTTCTTTGCATTACACATTTTGCTCTAAGACTTGGGACTTAGGGCTTTTAAAGTTCAGTTAACAGGAAACAGGAAAATTATCCGGAATTCCATTGAAAAATCATCTAGGAACAACGAGATCCATTTCCACCACGGTGGCTATGACAAAAAAAAAATCTCCCATTTTATGGTAGGAAGGCCCAATAGGTTTTCTCGGGAAGCATCTCTATTCTTTCTTAACGTGTTATTTTATGCTGCGGTGGGGACATTGTTTCCTACTAATTCGAAAATTAGGTGGGAACAACATTTACGGTGAATGGATTGTTGATTGAATCCATGAAATGAATGAAGAAAATGATCCGGAGTTTCACCGAAAAGTCATTTTGATTGATGGAACCCATTTCCGAAGTGTTATTTTGTATAGAAGCATCTCCATCGCCATTCGGAAACCTATAAAAAAACCTACTCTATACATTTAAGGCCATGATGAGATCTCGTAAACCTCAAGAGTTATTTTTGTGAAGCCTCTCCATCATCAACGTCTAACTATTTATCCAAGGGTAATTTTGTTTAGAAAATACACCATTCGGAATTTTATACAAAGTCACATCTTGACTGTTAAGGTCAAGGTGAGGTCTTGGAAATCCCAACAGTTATTGTTGAGAAGCCTCTCCATCATCAACGTCTAACTGTTAGGTGCAGCATATGGTCCGACGGATCTTACTGGTTATATAATCCACCATACAGATAGGGCTGTCTGTTGATATGGATTGAAATTTTTGTTGCTACTACTTCAATGATGTTTGGCATTGTTTTCGTATGGCCAACGATAATGAGGTTTACGAGAACATGGAAAATGGGGTATTGTGGCCCGGACCGTATTATCTATCGAAGAGATGTAATTTAACACCTTCAACTTACATTAATGCCAAAAGATCAGCGTAGTTTCAAACCCGCAATGGTAGAAGCCAGTAATTTCCGAATATTCCCAATATTCAGTACATCCCTTCTAATAACTTGCCCAGATTCCCTTCACCGTGGAAGGGTGAAATAAGTTTTCGGTCCAATTCATCCCAATTTTTTTATGTAATCATCACCGAAAATTGTAGGCGTTGTCCTTGAACCTCTTGGAAAATGTAAAGGCGATCAGCGCTACATTTCTACCCTCTATTTTTTAATGGGTTACTAAATAATATATAAATACGTAAGCACCTGAAAATATTTAAGTGTAACTCCCACATCCGAGTGCATACAACAATATAATTGGTATGAATTTAAAGGTCAATCACTCCTCTTGGATATACTGTCAACTTTTCGGGTCTATGTCCTTCAGGAGTAAATACATACGCCATAGAATACAAATGTTGTAATTTTTCACACAAAAGTCAGGGTCCATTTGACCTGCTAAATTTTTGACCAATTTTTATCAAAACCGGCATGTTTATTCTTTGGCCCGATCCCCTTCTCCATGTAACATTTCGCGACGTTGATTCAAGACTTCAAAGATATAATTCGTAGGGCTATTCAGAACAATTTGCGATTTGGTTATGCAAAATTTCATAAAAAAGGATGTGGTGTTGTAGGGGTTCTCGGGGTGGACCAGACCGGATTATCTCTCGAAGAGATTTAATTTATCATATAGTTCTGTAAAGAGGGAAGATGTAATTTATCACCTATGTGACTACTTCTTTATGGGACCACAGAATCGATTCTAGATCTCAAATATAAAATTCGTGAGAATCTTCAATAGCCTCACGAATTTTATATTTGATGCGATTTTATTATGCAAAATTTCATAAAACGGATATAGTCCAGAAAGCGTATCGTGGTGTCCCTTTACCAGACATTGCCCTTCATTACATTATATACTGATATTCGATCCGATATGATTCCGAAATAATACCTCCTATTGTGATTTTAAAAATAAGTTTTATTAACTATTACTAATTTACTAAATTATTCTACTGGAAATATTCCACACCCACTTGTGTCTCCACGTAGGGCGTCAGACGTCTTTCCAATGGCCGATTCTTTGAAAGTTCCGTAAAGGTAATATTCAACGATTCATTGGTCTGATCACAACAGAGTTGGGCAATAGGGGCATGTTTCAATTTTAAACGTTTTACAATTTTGATGTTGTTGTGATGTTTGAGTTGTGGTTGTTGTTGTTCTATTAGTTTTGTGGGTTTTATGGCCAAACGATAAATAGCTTCATCATTTTGATTTAAAGCCTGTTCCAAATCCGGTTCGTTGGCGATGATGTTGTGGTTGTGGTTGGCTATGGCTGAGGGGGTTTTAGCGATGAGTATCTTTTCATTACACGTTTGGTGTTTAGATGCGAAGTCAATTTTTATGTTCGAATTATCGGAAATCTTTTCCAACACTTCAGGTTGGGAATGATGATGATGATTATCGGAAGTGATAACAGTATTTTTGGTTTCTGTTGGTAGGGAGAGATTTAATTCCACTTTTGTTGCACTTGGAGTAATTTCTGTGTGCTTGATTGTTTCTTCAAACACCTGGTGCTGTGGTGTAACTTCAGCGATGTTATTTTTAACATTGATGTTGGATCCCACCTCAATCTTCGAAATAGTATTTGAAAATTGTGTTTTTTTAATTGAGGCAGAATTCAAGAAGTGCGATTGGCTCTCGACCTTAGAGGCAGCATGTATGGCAACTTTTTTGTCTAATTTGGCATATGTTGGCAATCCAAATGGTATTAAGGGTTTATCGTAGACATAGCCATCGGCTCTCACTAGGGTGCAAATACTAAGGACCAATACCAATAACTGTAATTAAAAAAATAATTATTAATATATATTTTTAAATTTTATTTAGTAATAAACTATATTTTTAGGCTTTCAATATTTTATTTTTAATTTCAATCTTTTTGTTTTTTTTTTTAATTTAAGATTTTTATTGTTTAATTTTAAAGTTTTCAATTTTTATTTTTTAATTTTGAAATGTTAAATTTTAATTTTTTTTAACTTCAAATTTGAAATATAATTTTTTTTTATTATTATTTTAGTTTCATTTAATTACCCCCACAAATTGTTGACACATCATTTTACTAGTTTTTATTAATTTTTATTTGTTCACCAAAAATTCTTTTTAAAAATTTGAAAACTATGTCTACTTCACTACAACGTTTAGACTATAACTAACCAAATCTACTAATCATTATCTATATAGAACCTTTAGATCTCTCCACTCTGTTCTGATTCTATTTTTGTGTGTGTTTTGTAATATTTCGTATTAATTTTTTTTCATTTGTGTTTTTTTGCTTGATTCATACATTTTTCTCAGAGAAGATCATTGACCATCATCAGGCGTATGGAAACCTGTTTTGTTTTATTTAAATTGCCATTGTTGTTGTTACTAATATTAGCATTAATAAATTAAATAAATGTATTTCTATGTAAAATCCCTAATATTGGAGTTCTAATGAATTTGTTGGTTAATTTATTTTCTTAGATAATAAATGACGTTTCGTTAGGCGAATAAGTTGATCTGTTTATGTGGTAACCCAGCGAACATTTTTTTTCGGAAGGCATTCCATTGAAGTAATTCCTTTTAAAACGGAATTTAGCTTATCGTAACCAACCAGTCAGGTGGAAATGAGGACATTTTTAACTCGACTCCATATTTACTGAAACGGATTGGGTCCAAAGCATTTAGAATCGACTAATAAATGTTCGCCTGACTAGCTGGTTTGCGGGTTAACCCGCAATTTCGATCCATTTCCTTGACATAATTATTTACCTCTTCAATGAATATTACTATTCCTTAAGTCCGAATTTCTTAATTGCAGGAAGGGATATTTATACCCTACCCAACTATGTTGTGAGGGTATTATACCTTTGTGCAGCCCAAGAGTTTG